AAGAGAAAGAGCCTATTCAGTGGTGGCCTCCAGCTGTAGAACAATCCACCCGGAGAAGCAGATCTGTTTTGGTTCATTTCGGCACTAGACAAAAAAAAAAAAACTTTCGAAAGCCCTCCTAATCCATGCTAATGTGGGAAGAATCCAGAGAAAGAAATATTTTGGGAAACATTAAAAAGGCAGAATATATTTATCCAAAGGAATAATGGAGAAGATCTTAAAGGCAGAAAAGCAAGCCCAGTTTCTTAATAGCCCCAAGCAGAAACTAGGCAGAGGCCAGCTTTTAGAAATGCAAATTTAATAATCCATTCAGGAAGGTTGGGGCCAGGAAGCTAGAAGCTAAGATTAGGAAGACAAAGACCTCTAAAATCTACATACCCCACCCAAATTCTAGAAGACATGACCTTTGGGGACATAATAGGATTAACCCACCAATACCAAAAGGGCACACTCAGACTCAGGTCAAAGTACATGACACAGGAAATACAAAGCCTCAAACAGGAACAGGAAACAACCTCAAGAGCCCCAGAAGGTAAAAAAACAACCCACCACTCCCAGTGTTAGACACAAAAATAGTCACAAATTGAAATCCACTCTACTTGAGTTACAAATAGAAAAGAAGTTTATTAAACTTCACAACAAAGTTTAAAAAGTAACTGTTTGTAAAGCGTGGTGGATTCAGGAAGGCAAACAATGCAATGTAGCCAAGCACTGAACTACACCCCAAATTCCAAAATCACATATTATTATACATCCTATCGTGACGCCCCATTCCCTCCCCCATAGCCCCATTGGCTTAGACTTTGGAGGTTACAATCTATCAGAAGCGCCTAAACAGAATACATTATCTCCACCCGTTTGCTTACATTATACTAATAAGATCCCTCCCCTACTATCCTTTTTACTCAGACCATATATGTACATGCTTATCAATTCTGGAGGAGAGATGTCTCCCATCTTCTACACTTGTCAGATCAAGTAGGGGTACCAGGCACCAGAAGGTACTTAAAAACAATTCCTAGATGGTGACTCACACTGGGCCCCACGGTAACTCCTCTTCTCCCCCCCTGCTTCCACCTGAGGCTTGTATTTTTCCCCATATACTCTACTCAGGCAATTGATTATAAAATGATAATTATAAGATATAAAATATGATTACATGATAATACTAAAAGTATATATATATTTATTTTTAAATGTCCTCGCTACTTCCAGTTATTTTCCACACCAGCAACATGTGGTCAGCTTTCCCAGAGCCATGCTTCTGTTTGGCTCTGCTCTTCAATAAACTCCAACCTGTTTTCTAAAGCAGTCTCCATTTTGTTTATTCCCAGCTTGGACTGGACCCTGATGAAGATTTTTCTTTCTACAGTTTGGCACTCAGGACGTGACTCCAAGCTAACCTGACCAATGGACTGGGACTGGTAAGCCCCATCTTGCCGGCAGCAGATCCCTTGTGTCTGTGGATGGGTTTCCAAGGCCCTGCCCATGTGGAGCAAGGGTAGTAAACAGAGTTTTGAGTTTGAGCTCAAGGGCTGCTTTGGAAAGAAGGTGAGTACCTCTAATGTTTAATTTTAAAGCCCAGGGGAGCAAGGGAAATGTGTGTATGTCTGTGTGTGAGTGAGTGAGAAGACCCTTTTTCCAATCACAGTTGGATTTTGCTCCCTCTGGCCTTTCCTACCCACAGAAAAGATCTGTTCAACCAACTCTGGAAAACATGGGGGTTTGGTCAGAGCGTAGGACCTTTTGTTAAGGAAAAGGGAGAGGCTGTGTGAAAATGTAATGGAAAAGTGAATGAGAGAACCAGATTTGGGCAACCAGCTGGTAAGGCCCTATAAGCAAAGCCCGGGTCTGGGAAGGAGGTGTTCATGCTTGCTGCTTGGAAAAAGCAGTCAAGTCCTCCCAGACTCCTCTGAGTCCAAAATAGTAACAGTAAAAGTGTAATCAACAAACGTGTAAACAGGAAAAGTTGTTCAGGAAAAGTTGTAAAGAAAAGTATAGTTGTGAGTAGTTGTGAAAAGCCGATGGAAGGAGGTGCCCATACCTGCTGGTTGGGAACAGCAGGTCCTCTCAGACCCTTTTTTGGTCTGCAAACTGAAAGTCGGTATTCCCATTAAAGGAGGGGCCCTTACTCTGCGTTGGGAACCAAAGTCCTCCCAGACATATTTTTTCCCAAAAAAACTGATAAGCAGTGTGATAGGGATTTTGCCACGAGGGAGACCTGGCTAGAGTCCATTGAACCCACATCTGAAGGGGAACATGGGAAACTGTAACTCGAGGGTTGTGTCCGGATCCCCTCTAAGTGATTTGTTGATGGCGTGGAACGAGTATGAAAAAAAAAATGATAAAGGGAAATTTGTGAAGAATGGGTTTTGTTCAGGACTTTGCTGGGAAACCAATTTGGCTAAATAAAGGTACTTAAAAGGAAAAGGAAAATAAAATATAGGAATAGTGATCTCTCTTTCTCTCTTTCTATGCAACCACGTGATATGTTTACGATTTGTGCCTTTCCTAATTTGAGTTAATTGAGATTTATAGTGGGAATGACCAGGATCTGTAAAACTAAGTTCTGTTTCCTTTTCTGATCTCTTTTCCTTGTCTTTGTGTGTGTACGTGTGTCAAAGTCTTTGTGTGTGAAGTAAATGTAACTGTTGAGTTACTCTAATCCAAAGAGAAAAGAATATTAAAATTCTGCTAGAAATTCTGCTTAAAATAAGCCACCAAAGGTAAATACTCTCACCTTGTTTGTTTAGCCAGAAAACAGGGTGAAGAGAAATGGGCACCAGTGGTTATGTACTGAGGCAAACATGGCTGTGAGTAGTTTTGAGGAATGGGCAAACCTGACTGGAAACTCAAAGTGACATCCAACATCTGAAAAGAATTGGCACAGAATACTGGACACTATAAATTTATTTTCCGCCTAACAGAATTTAGACCTTCATAGTTGAAAAGCTCCCCTTTTGGGAACCACTGCAGGGATCTTTTTCTGCTGTCTCTATTAGTGTCTTCCCTTTTTTTTGCATTAACAGTTTAAAAGCTTGTTTATCAAGTCTCCCTGACCAGATCAATTTTAATCTTGTGCCAGTAAAAGTGTGTCATCCACACTCTTATGGCACAAAGGGGGGATTGTGGGAAGAATCCAGAGAAAGAAATATTTTGGGAAACATTAAAAAGGCAGAATATATTTATCCAAAGGAATAATGGAGAAGATCTTAAAGGCAGAAAAGCAAGCCCAGTTTTCTTAATAGCCCCAAGCAGAAACTAGGCAGAGGCCAGCTTTTAGAAATGCAAATTTAATAATCCATTCAGGAAGGCTGGGGCCAGGAAGCTAGAAGCTGAGATTAGGAAGACAAAGACCTCTAAAATCTATATACCCCACCCAAACTCTAAAAGACATGACCTTTGGGGACATAATAGGATTAACCCACCAATACCAAAAGGGCACACTCAGACTCAGGTCAAGTACATGACACAGAAAATACGAAGCTTCAAACAGGAACAGGAAACAACCTCAAGAGCCTCAGCAAGTATAAAAACCCACCACTCCCAGCAACATGTGGTCAGGTTTCCCAGAGCCATGCTTGTCTGGCTCTGCTCTTCAATAAACTCTAACCTTCTTTCTAAAGCAGTCTCCATTTTGTTTATTCCCAGCTTGGACTGGACCCTGATGAAGATTTTTCTTTCTACACTAACATCAAAAATATCTCTGGAACTGTTCTAAGCACTTTTTCTTGTTTTTCTTATTATTGATTATATTAAAAAAACATTCTTCTGTTCAGCCGTCCTATAAATAACCAGAAGCATGGGAAGGGCACAGAGTTTTTTTAAAGGCAACCTATAGCTTTTCTCTGGACTGCCAGGAACACAGTGTTCAAAGGACCTAGTCTGCGCTAATGGTGCTGATACTTTCTCTGATATAAGACTGCAATGGCCCTCAGGGTGTAAGAACAGTTTTACCATCTTCCTGAATGCATTCTACAAAGATGGAAAATATATTACAATAAAAGGGCTATAGCCCGCCTCCCTCCAAATGTAAAATGAATAGTCTTACGGCTCCTTGAAAGGTACATAGGACTTAATACAGCACCCTCTCCCCAACTTAGTGCCTTCCCCACCCACCCCGTTTTGGATTCAATCACCGTAATTCCCCACAAATATGTCTAGGACTTCATAAATCCAACCACACTGTGGAGGTGGGGGGAGTACTAGTTTAGCAATGTGGAGGAAATCAGGTCGAACTATGTAAACAACCAAGAGATATACTGTATTGGCGGAGAGTTCTTGATCTGGATGGTTGAAAAATGCATTAAATGCTAAAGACATCGTAATAAATCCCAAAAGTCACACATTTAAAGGATTCAGCCTATCTTGCTTTAGGATAAACTGACTCACTTTTCCTGCTGGTATAATTGCACGGTATGCACAAGTCACCACAAAAAACGCGGGTAACCGCACAGCGACTCTACACCAGGGAACTAGCTTCAACTGTGACTCTCCCTCCAACTCTTATTGCAGAACACAAGCGTTCTGTTTTGATAGGCAGCAAGCAACCAAATCCATCTGGTTCCGTATAAACAAATTGAGGGAAAACCAGCGAAAGTGGGAAGATCGAGTATTGCACGCGCGAGGAGGGCCAGCCTTCCGCGACCTCCTGCTCTGGCTGGCTGCAAAGCAGGCAAACGATGCCCGCTCGCTCACCAATTTCCAGGAAAAGAATTCAAACTACAACAGAGGAAGGGCAATCTGCATTGCAAACGGGGGGGGGGGGAGAGAGAGAAGGGGGGGTGTAATGTCTCTGTCCTTGGCAGATGGTCTTACCCAGTGTGCATTGTTCCTTTAGTGTCTCCTTTATCCACTGTAATTGGATCCTGGAGGGAGCCAGCGAGCAAGGGAGGGACGGAGGGAGGCTGGGCGAGCTCGCTGGGGGCGGAGGGGAGGCAAAATAGTCCCGAGGCTTTGGCCTGCGCCTCCCTCGCCTGTCAAGCGCTTGATTTCATTGTTCCAGGCTGATGTCACTCCCAGTTGTTACAGACGCTTCTCCGGGTAACAATGTGGGACTAGGAGGCACAAAGGACCTTTCTGGAGACACCCCAAAGGTAAGAGGGAGAGAGAAGTAACTGCGTCGGAGTTGGGGATGCTAAAGGAGCCGGGCGTCTTGGGGAGCGACCTCGGAGCAGCATGCGCACCCCAGGCACCGTCGCCGCCAAAGCAACTTTAGCAGCTGCAGGAGTCGCTCGCTCCCTGCCGCCGCATGCAAAGCGCGCGGCCCCTAGGAAAGCGCGCGGCTCGGCCGGCGGGAATTCTAGGGAAGGGGAGGAAAAAAGTTTGGCTTCCCATCTGGCTGAACCGTGTGTATCCGCGCCGGTTTTGGACAGAAGTTTTCTACAGGGAGCGGTCAGGACGGGGTACGGTGTTGCGGCACTGGGAGTGGGTGGACTAGTTGTTGATGCCCGGTTTCCCCCACACGCACGCATACCGCGACGCGCCATCCCACACCTCGCTCTTAGTTCTTCAGTCGTTGCGGTGTTCGGATCCAGCGCGTCTCAAAATCCGATGCCCGGGAAGATCGCTTATCCCCCGAACCCCTAATTAGTAAATCCAGCGGCCATCATCTGGCGCTGCGTCTTTGCAGAACTTGGGCCAAGTTGACCGGTCGCAGACTTCTCACGTCTTCAGTATTGAGTTAATTGAGGCGATTGGAATCCAAGAAAAGGCTAAGATCCCTAGCTCAAATTCGGCAATCCTGCCTTGATCTTAATTCCCAGCTCTGGTCTATGTACCAAACCTCGCTACCGCTCGGGGATCTTTCAACCTTCTTATGCCACTCTGTTCTCAGCTGACGGTCAGCACCTGCTCTTTCCATTTGTTTTCCTCCTGGATGGTCCCCTCAAACACAGGATTTTCTGGGTCAGGACCTTCAGCCCCCTCCCTGGGCACTTTTGATTTTATTAGCTTCCTGTCCTGCTTTATCTGCGTGGTTCCTCCTTTCTTTCACTGGCCAACTTCTTAAATTGTCTCCTGGCACAGATGAGTTGTTAGCACCTTTCAACTAACTTCAGGGCTGTGCGGTTAGCGTACGGTTGCTTACACCTGCCCGCGTACCCCCCCCCCAATTCCTATATTTGTACCCTGTTCATCTTCCTTCCTGTCCTGAACTTAGAACTGGCATGGCCTATTTCTGTGCTCAGATTGCTATTGTGGTGAGGCCCTTGGGGACAGCTTGGGTGATGAATCTCTACCCAGCTCATTCCATTTGTCACACAGCCTCTGTTTCCAGCACCTGCCCCCCCCCCCGCACTTTGGCAGCAGATTGCATTTGTTCTGCACACATCCTTTTGTTCCCCTCCACTACAGAATGCCAGCCCTCTCCCAGTCATTTCTCATCCTCTTTATTAAGGGGGGGGCACCAATTATGATAACCAAAAAGAAGGATGAAGATGGTACTGGTTTGGTCAAGGGAGGGGAACTTTGTTTCAGCCAGCCTTGTGTTAAAATGATGCCAAGAAGGGTACGCCGTACTTTATTTTTTGGCTATAAACTCTTTTTACCAGCACGTGACATTCTTTGCACCTGGTGTGCTCCTGATATATTAAGAATGTAACTCCCACAATTATCAGCCATGCTGGAGAGGGCCACCAATGACCCATCATCATACAAAATGGCCTACTGTATCACATGACCACTCTAGGACATTTGTCTCTCCAAAGCTGTCTGACCATTATTGTGGGGGAGGTTATGATATGAGGTCCTAAACAAACTTACTTAAAAATAAATTCCTGATAGTCTTAATTCCAAGCAGATATGTTTAAAAACAGAGACATCAATTCTGCCCAAGGTGGTACCTCCCAACAGCCTGAATGTCTAGCCAGAACAACAGAACCGGAGAGCGCAAATTTAGGAAAGGCTGGGGAAGCCAATTTGTTAAAGAAATTCAGTGAAAGTGAGCTTTTGCTTATTGAAATGTCATTTTCTCCTAAAAGGCAGAAGCGCATGTTTGTGTGTAAGTTTTACATGTTTTCATGTTGGAAAAGTGAAACCATACAAAGAACAAAGCTCCAAAAACAAAGGTTGGATCTTAGTCCCATCCAGAATTTTTCTCCCAAGTTAGGGATCTGTAGCTTGAAGGGTCGCATCAGGCTTTTTATGCAGCAGGTCAAGAGCCACAATCCAAAAAAGACTGGGACGGAGCTCATTTTGAGTGCAGGACCAAGAGTTTAAACACATGAAATGGATTCCTGGAATATCCGCAAGGCATAAGACACTCCTTAACCCTTGCCCTTGCCCTAAAAAAGGGTCACAGATCTTTGGCCCCATCTGCTCAGCAAAAAAATGGTGGAGAATTACATGCAACTCTGGACTGTACCTTTTATAAAATTTTGTCTAACTAATTTTCTCTTTTTAAAAAACAGCCCTTGACCTCATTAAATAAGTAAATAAGAACTTTGTCTCCTAAGGGTGCCTCTTCCTCCTTCTCCTTCCACCCTTCTGATAATAATCTATTTCATGTGACCAGCTAACTCATCCATAAGGCCTTCTGTTCCGGAATTCTGCAGGGCATCTTCTACAGTAAAAGCCCTGTTCTAATGAATTTTTTATCCTCCTCTGGTGCTTTTACAGCCTTGATTACATTATCCCAATTCCCTCTTTCTCCTCAAACATTTGCCTCTTTGTCTCGTTAAGATCCACACATCCTCCACCCTTCCCTGTCCATGCAGTTTGGGAACTGCACATCAATATTCAAAGCAGCAATGAGGTCATTTTTCCAAGGGCTTCTCCTCTCCTCCTCTTCACTATTCAGGAAACACACCAGGAATTGTTCTTGTGCTCCAGTAAGAGATCCCTCTCATGTGAAAGCTGGGGGTGAGTGGGGGAAGATTAATGAGAAAGCTGCCCACATAAGCAAGCTTCCATTGGCAGCTTATTAAAACTATGTTATTCTTTGTGCTCTCCAGCTGCATTGGTAGGAAATGGAAAAAGAGTTCTTATTTAGAGTGGCTTTGTAAAAAGCCAGGATATAATCAGTGATTTTTGTGCATTTCAGGAAAGTTATCAGTGGTTAGCCATTATTAGGAAGATAAAGTAAAATCACGAAATGATGAGGATTTATCATTTTTAATTGCTTTAGGGTGTGATTAGAATCAAGCCTAAAGATCCTGTCTTACCTCTGCAGCATGTCCCTCTATTGTCATCAGTGATAAAAATAAGTTCTGCTAATACCAATTTCAAACTGGTGAGGTACTGTTTTTAAAGAGTCCTCTTCTGAATATTTTCCAGTGGACGCATTCATATTTGATTCTTTCTACTGGGTAGAAAGAATTAAAGGCACTCATTCTTTAAAAGAAACTAGTTGGGAATGATTGGATGTGAGAAATTGTTAGTTGAGCTTTATCATAACAAAATCCACATTAACTTTTAGCAAAGTTAATGTTGGTTTTATTATGATGAAGCTAGACCAACTATTATACTTCTGTGTTTCATTTCTATGCCTTCCAAAGAAGGTTTCTTACAGTTAATATATTAAGGATACTCTAAAGAAGTAGCAGGATGAGCTAAAGAAGGACAACACTGATGATGTCATGCAACAGGGAGGAATTGAGTTTTCTCAGGGGAACAGAATGAAACAATAAATCAAATTGCAGATAATCAAGGTCAGGAATGAGAAATAATGCAGAGCCTTCTTTACAACAATGCAAAGTGAAACCCATGTCTCAGATATCAGATTGTTAAGGAAGCGTCTTTTTTTTCTCCAGCATCCGTTCCCATATATTGGGGAACTCTAAAGACTTTAGGCATTGTTTTGATTGGTACTTTTAGCTTTAATAATGTCTAAAGCAAACATTCATAATTTGTCAATACATACTTTCAGAGAGAGTTTTTTTTAAAAAAAATAATAATTTTATTTGAAAGCTTTTCTTACGAGAATGTTTATGGGTAAGGTTAGATTTGCCTACAATATTTCAGACCAGACTGGGATAGGCCTTTGGAATATTGCCTGTGGTTTTACTAGGCCTGGGCCCATGTTTCTTCAGTTCTGAATTTACTTTGTAGAGCCTGAATGTCCACTAGTGCCAGCGTTAAGGTTATACATTCATTGTTAGAGTGATTTTTGTTTTTTAAAAAGGGAAATTTCCAAGCATGGTAGAACTTTTTGTCCACACCTACCTGCCTGCCTGCCTGCCTGCCTACCTACCTACCTACCTACCTACCAACCTCTCTCTCTCTCTTTCTTTCTTTCTACTGGAAGAGATGATGCCCGAGGTCTAATTTATTTTTAGAACAAAAGGTGGCAGATCTATTCACCCTGAAATTCTGTATGTGCAAATTATACACCCAGCACAAAAACTATAAACTAATCTCGTCAGTCTTGGAAAAAGATGGGAATAGTGCCAGGAGCATGCTACCCGAATGCTATGAAACCTTGTATGAAATTAAAAATGGCCTGGGAATCCTATGGGAATGTAAAGATGAAGTAATATTTATTGAATACACATATATTGGGATGTGAATAATATGATATACATAATAATAAGGATATCATTTGTGAATGATATTTAATGTGTACTGAGTACTACAGGTATAGTAATGTATCTTGGCAATATTATTACTGCCATACACAATTGCTGCATATGGTCCAGTGCACAAGCCGGTTCCTGTAGCTCAAGAGTATTTCTTATAAAAGTAGCTGTGAAAAGGTAATAACTGAGTCAGGTATAATGATGTGTGCTAGAAGGGTTTGATATCAGACTTCATGTGATGCCATTCAGAATAGAATTTGTGGGGAGAACTGCAAGGTGCCATTCAGTCAAAGGGTCCCCTAATATCCCAGTGTTAGCTTATTCCAATTTTAGATAGATAGATAGATAGATAGATAGATAGATAGATAGATAGATAGATAGATAGATAGATAGATAGATAGATAGATAGATAGATAGATAGATAGATAGATATTGTTATCTAAAGCCCAGTGCCAAAATTATTCAGCTGCACCATTGTCTCAAAGTACACCCTGCATCAGTCTGGAAGACTTCTTGGATTGACAAAGTATGTTACAAGCCAGTTGCTGGAAAATGGGCTAAGCTATTGAGCCTTTTCTTTG